TGCTGCCTTCAACCCCTTCCTCTTTTCCTGCTGCTGCTGCCTTCAGCCCTTCCCAGAGAATCCTGCCTTCTCATCATCTGCTCAAAGGAGGACAGCCTGAACTTCATCATTTTTGCCTTCAGAGATAGCTCAGGCTTGATTTGATCTAGGACCCCTTTGTTCGTCTTTCTAGCAATCCGCAAAGCTGTCCTCCAGCACCACATTTCAAATGAATGAATTTTCTTCCTGCTATCTTTCTTCCCTGTCCAGCTTTCGCACCCCACGCATCAGGAATACAGTTGTGTGCATGATCTTGACCTTGGTCTCCAGCCACCCTCAAATAGTGATGCTCGGAAAAGTGTTGTAGTAGCACTTTTTCAAGTGTTGTTCATCAGGATGGCTTTCATAGTCAACCCCTCCCACCCGATGCAGTCCAAAACTGCAAACAGCAGGATTGGGCCATATCAGCAAATGCGGAACAAATCTTTCCAGTAGCCTGTGGCTCTTATTAGTCACGAGTCACCAAAAAGAGAAACAAATAGGTTCTAGATCAAATCAATCCTGATCTCTCCTGAGAAGCCAGAATAATTATCTTTCAGCTGATTTACTTTGGATGCAGAGTTAGAAAACTGTAACAGGGGGGAATGTTTTGCTTCCAGGATCAACTGCTTAACAATTTGTTATAGAAGAAATTTATTGCACTTGTAAACATTCCGAATGGAGACAGATAGCTACCGTTTCCCTGAAAATAAGCCCTAGTATGATTTTTCAGGATGCTAGGGCTTATTTTCAGGTTAGGTCTTATTTTGGGGGAAACACGGTATGAAGATTATTGAGGGATGGTTACTCTTATTTGGAACTCAGGAAAGTTACATTTTTGATTATAACGTCCAGAGTCCTCTTGCTGGAGACCTCTGGGAGTCGTGGTTCCAAGAAATTAACTTTTCTAAGCTCTACTTTGAGTGAGTTTTGTTTGCTTCATACATTGATATACCGCTGACTTAGTATAATGGGTCAGATCCATCAGGGGCCAGATGAGTTACTGTTCAGGTTTACAAAAGGAAAATAAACAATAATCCCAACCACGCAACGAAACATATAAGTTGAATATATAAATATACCCTGTACAGTAACCAGTTTGACGTGTTTTGGTATGTAGCAATATGAGAAGGCTATTCTGTGAAACTGGGTGCGGCTGATAGAGGATCTATGTCGTTATAAAACATGTCTTCATTTAAATTAAGCCCCTCTGAGAGAAATAGGCAAAACTTTTGGAGAATCCACAGGATTCTTTGGTGCTTTTACCATGGACGCCCGTGGCTGGATATTCTGAAAAAGAGGAGGTATTTGCCCACCCACGGATTTGCAAATAGCCATCTGATTTTCTTTCTGTGTTTCAATTTCCGTCTATATACGTCTTGCCAATAATTCTGGGGGGATAGGGGACCTAGAAATGGTTTTCTTTTCTGTTTAGAGTCAGTTTTACATGTTTGTGTGTGCCTGCATGATCTTGGAGGGGAAGGGAACTATAGGCATAAACAAGACCTTGGAGAAGTTATTTCTTTGGGCTCCCATCACCCGGATTCCACAAGCTAGCATGGCCAGCAGCTCTATGTCCAAAAGGTTCAGAGGCAGTGATAAAAAAAGGAACTTTTCCAGGCCCTGATATAAATAAACTGCTTATTTCCCAGAGCTGATGACCCTCTTCCAGAGTTCATCCAACAGAACTGCATAGCCTCTCTCTCTCTCTCTCTCTCAAGGTAAGTTGGAATACAGTTCCCATCAGCCCTGGCCATTATTCATGTCGGCTGGGGCTGATGAGAGTCTGAGTCCCACAACATCTACTGTAGATGGTCCTGAACTAAATGGACCAATGATCTGACTGGTTCCATTCAATGGAGCTTTTTCTATATGATCACTGGGGGGGACATTCTCATTTACATGTCACAGTAGGCTTTTTTGTCATGAGGTGTACTGTAAAATATATCTAAGCATTTTCCTTTTGTGCAAATGTATGTATTTATTTATTTTATTTAAGATATTTTTATTTGGTCCTAGAAAAAAAGCTAGCATGGCCAGCAGCTCTATGTCCAAAAGGTTCAGAGGCAGTGATAAAAAAAGGAACTTTTCCAGGCCCTGATATAAATAAACTGCTTATTTCCCAGAGCTGATGACCCTCTTCCAGAGTTCATCCAACAGAACTGCATAGCCTCTCTCTCTCTCTCTCTCTCAAGGTAAGTTGGAATACAGTTCCCATCAGCCTGGCCATTATTCATGTTGGCTGGGGCTGATGAGAGTCGGAGTCCCACAACATCTACTGTAGACGGTCCTGAACTAAATGGACCAATGATCTGACTGGTTCCATTCAATGGAGCTTTTTCTATATGATCACTGGGGGGGACATTCTCATTTACATGTCACAGTAGGCTTTTTTGTCATGAGGTGTACTGTAAAATATATCTAAGCATTTTCCTTTTGTGCAAATGTATGTATTTATTTATTTTATTTAAGATATTTTTATTTGGTCCTAGAAAAAGGTCCCAATGCAATATTAAAAGCTAAAAAGAGTAAATTATTCAAATATTAAAGAAGAATTAACATTAAAAATGTCAGGCAAAAGCACTATAGAAAACCGATTTAGAATACAGATGGGAACGAACTGCCTCTTTGGCAGTTCATCCCAGTTCATCACCGCAACAAGTGTTTGGTGGTTTGGCATCCCCTCCCCTCCAGCAGCACCCAGAGAAGATGGTGCAGGGAAGCCTGGATGCTGTTTCTCAATGGCCGCCCAACTGGAGGGGGCAGTGCGTTGACTTGCTGAACCACTGTTGTGTTGGCAGACGAACCAGAACGAACCAATGAACCGGTGGTTCAGGCCCATCTCTAATGTAGAAGCAACAAAATATAAGCCATCCTGTTTGTTATCTACTACAAAGTCTGAAGGTCTTTCCCTGCTTGCAGGAGGACAGCAAAGATGGGGCCCGCCTGGCCTCTTGTGGGAGGGAGTTCCAGAGTCTGGGAGCAGCCAGAGAGAAGGCCCTCTCCTGTGTTCCCACCAAGCACCCCTGTGATGATGGTGGGACAGAAAGAAAGGCTTCCCCTGATGGTCTTAACACCCAGCCAGGCTCATAAAGGGAGATGCAGCTTTTGAGATTTATTGTTTGCCCCAAAGTGGTTTACAAAATTTGGCCATGGACTAAGGGCAAGGAAAGTCCACCCACCCACCCCATTCAAACCTTTGGAAAGCACCACTTTCTGGCTTGGTCCATGAGCCTCCCGTGGAATTGGCAGACTGGTCAATGAGCAAAAAGTCATACTACTTGGCTAAAATGTCATAATTCTGCACAAGACAGGAATGCAAAGCAGCACCGGTGCATCAGCTGTACTGAACAGCTCCTGAAAACCCAAGCCTTTGACTTCTTTTAAAGAGTCAATCCATTTGGTATTTAATCTTCCTCTTTGATGCCTGAGGTTGTCTGTTTTTCCTGTTCCCTCCTGATCTCAATTCTTCTTATAAGCCTGAAGTCAACTATCTCCTCTCCCCCCATCCCCTGCCACAACTAACTGCACATACCTTTCTAAGCTAATTTTTTTTTATCAAAATGCTTCAAATGTTTTTTTAAAATAAAAATTACTTTATCATGCCATGTCTCAAAAAGGAGGACCCATTCTCTTCCCCAAATTATATTGCTGCCTATACTAATTTGTTTTGCAAGATGCGTAACAAAAAGGGATGTTATGGAGAAAGGGAAATGAGAGGTGCCTCTGGGAATGTACAGAGTGCACTTTCAGAAATGTAAGGAACATAAGAAAAGCCCTGCTGGATCAGGCCAAGGGCCCCTCTAGTCCAGCTTCCTGTATCTCACAAGTGGCCCCACCAGATGCCTCTGGGAGCACATGAGACAATGAGATCCCTGTCTCCTGATTCCCCCTCCCCTGCATCTGGCATTTGGAGGTCCCTTCCTTCTAAGCCTGGAGATTATACATCCCCATCATGACTGGTAACCTGCAATGGATTTTTTCCACCAGGAACCTGTCCAGTCCCCTTTTAAAGGCATCTTGGGCTGAGGCCACCCCCACATCCTGTGGCAAGGAGTTCCACAGGCTAACAAGCTGGGTCAAGAAATAGTTTCTTTTGTCTGTTCTCAGTGGGAGTGGATGTCCCCTGCTTCTGGTATTGCGTGAGAGGGAAAAGAGCTTCCCTCTCTCCACTTTCTCCATCCCCTGCATGATTTTATACATCTCAATCATGTCCCCCCCCCCTCAGGCACCATTTCTCTAGCCTAAAAGGCCCCAAATCCTGTAGCCTTTCCTCATGAGGGAGGTGCCTCAGCCAGTCCTCATTTTGGTCGCTCTCTTCTGCACCTTTTTTAGTCCCACAATGTATTTTTTGAGGTGCGGTGACCAGAACTGTACGCAATACTTTTGTACAAAAAAGCTTCCAGACATCTAGGATTAAAGAGACACCCTCAGGCTCAGAGAAAATGGCTTTTTTATCATGCTTCAGTCCAAGCTCAGCTCTCTGTTTGGCTAAATTTTTATTTTTTGGTGAATTTTCAATCCTTCACTAGGGAGCTGATGCTCCATTGAGGTTCCAGGACGTCTCTTTCAATACCCCACTTCCCACCACTCAGCCATGTACCACAATTCTCTCTTCTGATTGGCCGTAGCACCTGCCAATTACGGATTAAGCGCTTCCCTACAGAACACCTTGCCCAATCCTTGAAAAAAAAAGAAAAGGAGGAAATCAAGCTGGGATTAACAATACGAAAGTCTAATTGGTGAACTCCTCTGTCAACCAAAACCCCGAGCCCACCCACTCCCGCTCTCTCTTCCCCCCCGCACCGAACGGACATCCAAGAGAGGATCCGATTGGTTCTGCCCCGTTGTCACTCGGACCGGCTCAAGCCGAGCCCCCGCCCGGTTCCACCCACACGCCTCCTTCCGAGCGTGGATTGGCCGAGAGGCGAGTCCATCTTGTCCTGCGGCCCGCCTCGCCCCTTTTCAGGTAGCCCGGAAGATGGCGGCGGCGGCGGCGAGAGGTGCGGGGTCGGCGGTGTGAGGGGAGCGGAGCCGGTTGGGAGAGCGAAATTTCTCTCTGTTTTCGGCGCCCTCCCGCCTCGTTCTTTCTGGGCCCCCTCGCGCCTTCGTTTTTTGGGCGGGAACTGATGCCGGCCAGAGCCGAGCCGAGCGGTCTGAGGGGAGACGACGCGGTGGCGGCGGTTGCCGGGAGGCCTGGCCGTGGGCGACGCTGAGGAGGCGGCGGCGGCGGCGGCAGAGGCCGAAGAGGGCCCGGGCGAGATGAGGGCCAGGCGTCGGAGGCGTCGGTGGCGGCGATGGGGGCACCTCCGGGAGACCGGCGAAGGGTCCCCCGGCCTTGGGCTCGGGCTCTTCTTCCTCATTCTCTCGCTGGGAGGCGGCGAGGCGGCTCCCCTTCCGCCGGCAGGGGCAGGTGAGGCACCCATATCAATAAGCCCAAACCACACAGATGCTGTTCTGATTCGGAGGGCATCATCGGTTCATCTTAAAAGATCATGTTGGGTCATGAGCTGGGACGTGGTGGTCAAACGTTTGCAAATGTCATTGAAGAGCGGGCAGTAACAATATGGTCCATTTTCGATATTTTATTTATGTATTTATTTTATTTAATTTATATGCCGCTCAAACTACCCAAAGGTCTCTGGGCGGCTTACATTTAAAATACAATAGAAATTCAGAATAATTAAAATGCAATGACAATACATATAAACATTGCCATCGAACCCACAGCTAATATTATTTCAATTAAAAGCCTTCTGGAGGTATTTGTATCTTTTCCTCTTTTATGCACTTGGAGGAGCTTGAAAAGCTTCTGTTTGTAAGCTAACTACATTTCCCTGTGATGTCCAAAACTGGGGACTGAGGCTTATTTATTTAACGGTGAGTGAAAATTAGTCAGTCAGTCCATATTCTCTAACTGTAATGTGAGCAAGTCCCATTTTCTTGGGCTTGGATGTCGGAGAGAATTTTACTTGATTTAAAGGCAGGAATTTCATATCATCTTTCATATACAGTATAGGAGAAGGGAAGGCTGATTACTGTATACGAGTTTGAGATTGGTCAGGTTTGTTCCTGTTATACCTGAATTGGTATTATTTTATTGTTAGAACTACTATTAAAGATATAAGATATAATTAGACTACTAATTCTTCCTTTTCTCCCAATGAACACAATAATTCTTCACTTATAACGGATCACTAATAATGGTTGTATTAAAAACTGACTCGTGATGTGAATACCACCTTCTTTGGTGGCTCTCATTTATTTTCTCTTTTTGCAACATTTGTACTGAAAATGCAGTTGTTTTCAGATCCTTCTTCGCTTGTACAGCACTTCCAAGTATACAAAAATTTTAAGAGTTTTCTCACTCTTCTTGCAGCAACCATACGAGTATTAGAATGAAAGAAGGCAACATATTCAAGGTTGCACAGGAAGCAGTATAGATAGGTGGGGATTTGAAGCTGCTTTCCTGCCTCCAGATCAATCTTAGATTCATTTTCTGCTCTAAGTTTAAGAGTGTGCAATATACTGCTACTGAGTTGTTTCTCGATCTTTACTGCCATTCTGACTGAGGCAGCTGTATGCATCTCTTGGTGTCTATTGCTGTTTCTGGAGGGATATGTGCATTAGTTAAGACTGATGGATGTGGGACAAAATAGCCATAATTGGCTATGACTGCCCTGCATGTTTTGATGCATAAATATCACTTCATCTGCATGCAAGCACTGTGAAATGACTTAAAGTCTTCTAGGCAATATAATATTTCCAATTTTGTATTTAGATAATCTGTTTAAGCACAATGTGAAGAGGGTGCCTTGTGTATGCAATAAATTCAAGTATTCTGTTAATTCTTCCTCTTCAGTTTACCATTTCTACAGCAGGTTGGAATTGCAAGAGTTTAGACACAAGCTTTTGGTGGAACTATCTCAGGAAACTCTCCAGTCCAGAGTTTGAGAATATTGTAGAAAAGGACAACCTAGCTGCGATAGGGCAGTGTGAGAGTAGAGTTTTAATAGGTGGATGATTTTAGCCTATGCAGTGTGGGTGACCCTGTATTTTAATACGCTGGTTGCATCTGCACATAACAGTAGGTCAAAAATTCTGTCCTGATCATCCATGAAGTGAACAGTTGCATGTGAAGCCGCGAAGCATATTTATTCCTCCTTTTGTGTGATTGCATAAGCAAACGAAGAAGGGGAAAACTTTTATATTTGAATCTAAGGTTAGGTTTAACTGTGCTTAAGCAAGCCAACATCAAATCCTAATTTTAAAGCTAGTTTGTGATCTTGGTTTATTTGAGCTCACTTAACCATGCTATGCAAAACATTTCTCCTGTTGGTTTTTGTCTGCTTGGGCAAAGGAAGAGCAAATTGGGAATTAAAGGTTGTGAACATCATCATGCAAATTGTTTGCATTGTGGTTTATTAAATCTATTGAACTTTAACAAACTACCATGTGCTATTTGTTTTATTTAATTCTGTCCTTAAAAATGCTGTTGTTAAAATGGTTTTAAAATTTTGGTGCAGTGAAAAAGATTTGACCTGATTTTTATGATGTTCATGATGAAAAGAGAAGTGAAAATGAGCATCATGTTTTCAGTGGCTTTCATAACTGATCTTGTGGTTGGTTGTGGTTAGCTCCTTTTAATATATTGATGATAATTGTGTGCTGTTAGAACTGATTTATCTTATGGTGACTCTCTGAACATTGCCTTGTGAGTGCATCATGCTGTTTGGGCTACATGAACACCATTAGTACTTAGAACATAGTGTTTTGATTAATTTTAGTCTGTACTGTGATTGAGAAATTCTTGGGCTTGGTTCAGACATTGCACAAAGCTATGAGGGTTAATTAATGCTTGGAGTTGCAATCTAGAATTAGCAAGCCAAGATGATAAATGATGGCTCAAAGTGCATTGTAAATCTTGGTTTATGTCAGTGAGAACTTGGTTTGATATCTAAGTTTGTTCTACTACCAAAGGCTGCAACTCCATGGAGACTGAAATTCAGTAATGAGCTTGTATGTTGCTGAGGGGCTAGAAAATAAAGGCAAAGGAGTAGCTTTGAACCACTCTTCTACATTTAGAAGCTTGATCCATAGCTTGGTTTCTAAAGAATGATTAGTAGAAACTATGGATTAAGGTGATAGATACAGAGCCAAAGTATTCAGCTTTACAGTAACAGTGTAAACAGAATTAGTCTGATTATTGTATTAACTTTACAGCAGATGCTGAAGGTGACTGGCAAGACTGTGTGAAAGATAGCTGGGGGTGGCTGTTCATAGTTACATGGTTGACTGAGGACGCAACCCAAAGCATATTTGCTTGGGAGTAATCATCACTGAAAATGTGTTTTTACTCTGAACAAATACAGATAAGACCGCTCTGTTGGGATGGTAACCTTGAAGAAGCAACCTCAGCATCCCTGGATGGTGCCAGAGTCTTCTGTTGTTTAGCATAGTGATTTGTTGTACATGTAATGTGTTGGTTGAAAAATATCCTATTTAATTAGGCAATGCTGGTACAGAGCTCTAGTTATAACCCAGCTTTACAAGTAAATCCACTAACATTACTAACCCACATAAAACTTTTAGCTGTCTCTGTCTGCATATATGCATTTTTTAAGCTAGCTTCCACAACTGGCTGTGCTGGCTGAAGTTGATGGGAACTGTAGTGTGACCCATCTGAAGGGCACCAGTTTGGGGAAATGCTGTGTTAGTCATTTTGTGACTTGATGATGTGAGACAGAAACACACACCTTCCTTTTCAGTTTAGCAAATATTCTCTTGAGACTTCCATGAAAAAGTTGCTGTTGACAAGTTTCTTATAACATTATGCTTGTGTTTCTCCATATTCATGACGTTAGCGTGAAGTCTCTCTGCTGCTAGATTAAGAAAATATCTTTAGCTGGCACTCAAAATGTGCCACTTTGGAGCTGCTTAAAACCATGCTTCAATTTTAAACATTCTCTTTTTGATGATAAGTGTTTAATAATCTTTGAGTCATTATGAAGAATGAGGAAATAAGATGCCTATAATTTTGATAGGAAAGCGATACCTGCATTTGATTTCTGGAGAATTTGCTGGGAGATGCTCTTACCTAGATTCAGTACATCTCCACTGCACTGACTGGTATTGACAAGTGTTGTAATCCAGCAACTAGAGGGTATCTAATTTGCAAATGTAAAGTTAATGCACCAATTGTGAATCCGTCAGTATGTCCTGAAATTCCCATCATCTCTGACTGATTTACTAAACTGACTAGGGTTGATAAGAATTGCAGTCCAACACAGCTGAAGGACCAGATGTCAACCACTCTGATTAAGCATCCAAACATTTGTGGGTCACTATGTTGGTCCATTAAGAAAAATAATCCAGAAATCATAATGGGGCAGTATTTTTAGGATACATGGTTACTCATGACATTTTAGTTCTCTGTGACTCTTCCTCAGGTTGAGTGTCAAGTAAAACAACAAGTTGCCAGGGTAGTGATGAAACAGGATAAAGATGGGCATGATCGCACGAGTAAAATCTGCATTTTTAACCATCTTTAGATGGAGTGCAGGAGCTCTACAAACGTAATTAGATTGGGTTGTGCTGGGTGCAAAGCAGATGTTGGAGCTGCACCAAAATAGGGAGGGGAGAGACAGTGACTGCTGATCTCTCCCTCCCTGCTTTGTTGTTGTTCCCTGCCATCATGTTATCCCTGACTTACAGTAACTGAATGAATTACTGAGCTTCAAAAGTTTCTGTTAATAGTCCTGGTCAGATCTTGCAAAGACTCAAAGGTCCCAGTTTTGATTATAAAATTAGTTCATTTCCCACCCTCTTTTAGTAAATATAAAAGCCTGTAATTGCTTGGCTGTGTCCCCAATTCTTAAGTGGAACGAACTGTTAATTGAGTTTATTATAAAAGGCCCTGTGTGGCTGGTATAATATCAAGACATTCCTCTAGCAGAGTTGTTCAGTTTATTAGTGCACTGAATAGTATTTCCTGAGTGGAGAGAGTGTAAGATTGGTGACTGACTATCATAATGTTGTTGTTTGTTAAGGGAGAGGCCAGGTGACGTGATAGCTTTTTTCCTTTACACTGTGCAGGACTTTACTTGTGACATGTCTTTTCCTGGTAATTTCTGGCCTCACTTGTCTAACTGCATGCTTATAGTAATGGATCTCAAATGACAAATAATGTGCTAGCTGCAGATGCATTATGGACACATATTATCCTTGTACATAGTCCTCATTCTTTCTTGTCTAACTGCATGCTTATAGTAATGGATATCAAATGACAAATAATGTGTTAGCTGCTGTTTGTGCAGATGCATTATGGACACATATTATCCCTGTACATGATGCTCATTCTTTTAAGATTTTGACTTCCTAGTTCATTACCTTACTTCCTGAGAGGTAGCATTA